GGATGCAAGGCTTCAGCAGGATGAAGGAGACAGGTAGACGTTCTTGGGAAGAGAAGTGTGTGGTTCTAGGAAGAGCATCTCAGCCACTTTCTCTCTTCCCTGGCTGCTGGGCCTAACTCTGAAATCTTTTTCTACTCTGGGCTTATTTTTAAGATGTCTTTCAAAGTATTAAAATGCAATTTCAGAATAGCTTTTTCTCATCAAAAATAGCAGATGGTTTATTTAAGTAGCAGCTGTGTAAAGAGCATTTTAAGTCTATTGGGTGATTCAGTAATTAGTAAGGTCCTTGATAGTGTGGTTCTACTAAGAAAAGGCAAAGACTGGCAGGCAGGTGAGGATTCAGTGCCAAGGGTATGCCAGTTATGGGACCCGGCTCCCTGTGTTCTCAGTGAGAGCTTGGAGTTAGGGAGTAGCTTAGCATCCTTTAAAACCCATTCCAGGAGGAGGGGGTGCAGGGCAGCTGGAAGTGCTGGCACACGGTCATTGTTATGGGTTTGCATGCCTCCAAAATTCATATGTTAAAACCCTAACCACCATGTGACGATATTTGGAAGTGAGCCTTTGGGAATGTAATTATGTTTATATTGGGTCATGATTAGGGTGGGGGCCCCCCATGATGGGATTAGTGCCCTTCTAAGAAGAGGAAGAGAAAGATCTCTCCTAAGGCCATGTGAGCACACAGGAAGAAGGTGCCTGTCTACGAGTCAGGAGGAGAATGCTTACCAAGAACTGAATCTGTCTACACCTTGATCTTGGACTTCCCAGCCTCCAGAACTGTGAGAAGGAAATACCTGTTGTACGGGATTTTGTTATAGCACCTCCAGCTAAGTCATCGAGAGCAAGAACTTCAGAAAAAGACCAAGCTGGGCCGAGTACACCCCACTGTGTGCCTTTGGGCAGGTAACTTACCTGTCTGATCCCCAACTTCCTTATCTGCCAAACAGGTATAATAAAGATACCCACCTGACAAGGCGAAGGACTTTAACAAGGCAATGCAGGTGGCATCTCGCTGGAGGCAGAATAAGCTTGCAGTCACTGCCCTAACAGTGCTGCCACTTGGTGGGGACGGTTCCAGTGGAGAAGTGAGCGATTCGTGTCTGGGGACCCGGTATGTGGGGTGGTGTGACACTTCCCTGATTCTACATCAACAACCTTCATTTCTGTTTGAGAAACATTGTTGAGCAGGTCCTGGGCTCCATACGGTCCAGAGGTTTTGATAATGCTCGGGCCCTGCCCTCAAGAGGCTTATAGTCCCTGAGGAGGAATGACAAAGGAGCATTCCACTTTCAATACATTACCCACAGTTTTTTTAGTAGGGGAATCCTGGGTCTTGTAGGAGCACAGAGGAGGAGGGTGGGTGGCACCCAGGAAAGCTTTCTGGAGGAGATAGTTCCTCCATATTTTCCATGTTCTTTTCCAGTAAACCACTGTATGTTATTTTTCCCAAGGAAAACAAGGGAAATTCAGGCCTACCACATGTATCAATAAATTAATCCACATGTGTCAAAAGTTTATCAGCATTTTAATAAATGTTACCTGATTGGGAAACCCGCTTTTAAACCATTACCATAAAAAATTCTCCCTTTCGAAACGATGGCAGATTTTACATCCTGACGGCATCTGCAAACATAACACGAACTTCTCGCAAGCCTTGATTTAGATTTGAAATAGATCCTTGTCTTTCTGACCACTGACACATAGAGCTTATTAGATGGGATGATTTGGGAAAGTAGCAAAATCAGGCCTGTGGTTTCTACGCAAACGCTTCTCTCAGCCTCGCCCTGTGGTTTCCTTTCTGAGCTCCACGGCTGCTCCGACAGATGGACGTCAGCGGCCAGCAGCAGGCGAGGCAGGACTGGCCGGCCGACTACTCCGACCGGGGGCAGTGGCCAGCATGATTGATGAGCCAGTAGCTGACCAGTTCGGTCAACTGATGCCCGAGCCAAAGGCCGTGAGCCTCTAGAAAATATCTGTGTGTTTCCAGTGCTTTCAGATTAAGCGAGTGTATTTCCAGCTTGTTTCATCATGAACGGTTGTGTTGCGGCATATTTTACTCTTTGACCGCAGGATCCGGGTTTGAGTTTCTTTTTCCCTTGTTGCTTTCTTTTCCCTCACAGATGTGGGAAGAGGCCATCGCCCTGGGCAAGGAACTGGCTGAACAGTATGAAAACGAGATATTTGATTATGAACAACTTAGCGAATTGCTGGTAGGTCTTTCTTTCTCTTTAAATGAACAGGCAATCTCATCTTGTTCTTCTGGAATTTTTCTTTTCCTTTGAACGTTGGGATTCTCCTTCATTTTGTCCAGGAGGACACTTGATTTATTTGCTGGTTGATTCTGGCCCACGAGTATTCACTTTTTATTCCCCAGTGAGCTTTTGTAACCAAACTCTAAGACGCCTCGGAACGATTTATATGTGAACAACTGCTGAGTCTAGGTGTACGTTGGTCTTGATGGCCCAAAGGTCTCCAGGAGTCTCCACTCGTTTAAAACTGTGAGCCTGTCCGCAAGAGGGAGACGGATGGAGGCTAGCCCAGACCTTTCTACTGCCCCGGAAGCTATCGGTTTGTAACTACTGCTTTCTCTGCTGTATCATTTTTGTATTCAGCAGATCGACTTATGATGTTGTGATGTGTATCATGAATGTGGAACAGAGTTCTGCCCTTTTAAATTCTCTTGAAATGTATCCCATTATCTGACTGATACCTTTTTTAAAATAATCCTAAAGATCAGACAATTAATCAGAAGAAAAACCATCTCTCTGGCAGCTCTTTGGTTATTAAAACACCTATAAATCACAACTGGTTGCTGAATTTGGCTTTTTGGTCAAATTCCCCTGCTGAATGTTGGAGGATGAGTGAGGAGGACTGTCAAAGCTTCGTGGTGAGCTTAAATTCAATGCCTGCATCAGCACTGCTCCCCCACCTTCTCTCCCTCTCACCCGCTAGAACTGCCAAAGCTCGAAGAATCCAGATGCATGGATGTTCAAGTACTCCATTCAAACCTGAAATGCATTTCCTTTCTTCCTTTCAGAAAAAACAGGCTCAATTTTATGAAAACATCGTCAAGGTGATAAGACCCAAGCCTGACTATTTTGCTGTGGGTTACTACGGACAAGGATTCCCCACATTCCTTCGGGTAACTTTGGATTCTGTTTTGATTGGGTCAGGATTGCTCCCTGGGCAGCGAGCCTCTTCCCTTTCCGAGGAAGAATTTGGACCTTGCATCCGAAGTCCGACTCTTTGTATTATTTTAACAGCTCTGTGCTTGACTTAGGGTGCCAGAGAGGGGCTGATCATATTTTTTGATTGCATATAAACTTTCCATCTCATTTTTCCCAAATAGAACTCCTGTTCAGAGATTTATCTATATTTTTAAAATTATGGTTGGGGACTTCCCTGGTGGTCCAGTGGTGAGGACTCCGTACTTTCACTGCCAGGGGCCCAGGTTCAATCCCTAGTCAGGGAACTAGGATCCCACAAGCCGCGTGGCACGGCCAAAAAAAAAAAAATTCTGTAAGATATATATGCATAACATAAAATTTACCCTCTTTAGGTGTATCGTTCAATGGCATTAAGTTTATTTAGTTTGTTGTGCAAACTGTTCCCACCATCCATCTCCTGATCTTTTTCATCTTCCCGAGCTAGAACTCTTATCCCGTTAAACAATAATTCCCCTTTCTCCCCTCCTCCCCAGACCCTGGCAACCACGCTTTTACTTTCTGTCTCAGAATTTGCCTGTTCTAGGGACCTCATTTAAGTGGAATAATATAAAACTTGTCCTTTTGTGTCTGGCTCACTTCCCTGAGCATCATGTCTGCAAGGCTTATCCATGTGGTAGCGTGTATCAGAACTTCATTCCTTTTTATGGAAGGGTAATATTCCATCGTACTGATGTGCCACATTTTGTTTATCCATCCGTCCTTTGATAGACTCTGGGCTGTTTTGCCTATTATGAATAACACTGCGGTGAACATGAGTATTTTTAATTATATGAGAAACTAGAAATGGATTCCCAGTGCTGGAAACTCAGAATCATACTCCATTTCTGAGACAGGCATATGCTCTTTGACACATGATGGGAGAAGTCACCCAATAATCATGAGGCCAGAAACTGTAAATAAATGCTGCCTAGCCTACTAGTAGAATTGTTAAAGTTTCTCAAAAACTCATTCTTGGATGCCATTGCCCATGATTTCCTGTCATTTCTTATGACCTTTTTTTTTTAATGTCACCTGGTTTTCTCTTATCCTGGGAGACCATGCGTGATCCTTCTGGTTTTAGAGAAGCAGGAGCTCTCTGCCTAGGGCGCACCTGTCTGGGGCAGTTAGATCCAGTTGGGAGATTTCTGTAGCCCCAGAGCTGTGTTCCTTTGGCCTTGGTGTTTCTGATCCCACAGGAGGCCCTGATAGTATAAGACGTCCCTTCACGCTGGCACCAGCAGGGAGGACTTACTTGGTGAGGACCTGTCATTCTGTATAGGAACTTCAGCAAGTGGCCCTCGCAGGGCTGACCAGCTCCAGAAGGTGTGACCTGTTAGTTGATATGCTCACGCAGGGTCCTGGCTGGGTGCCTGGGGCATCTGGCCTGTCCCTGTCACTGCTGGTCAGTCTCTCCTTAACACCGACACCTTCATCGTGCAGCTGTGGCATCTAAGATAGTGGTTAGGGAGGATTTTGAAATTAACTTTAAGTAAAAAACCAGTCCAAAGGGGATAATGAGCCTGGAGTTGAAGTCACCTACTGTTGCTCAAGGCTTTAATTAATGTATGTGAATCTGTACACATGCCTCCGTGGGTGTGTGTGTGTGTGTGTGTGTCTCTAAGAAAGACTGAGAGGGAGGGACAGGCCCTAAATCACCGCTGACCTGTGCTGTGCTGGGTGTAGAGTGTGTGTGTGACCCTCCTTGGACACTGCCATAATTTAAGGCCTCTACGGCTCTGTCCTGGTGTCCTGAGCTGGCAGCAGGGCGGGGTGAGCATTTTGCAGCCCCCAAGCCAACTGATGCCAGGGTTGTCCTGGGAGGTCACGTGAGATCCGTGCTCCAGGGGCCGTGCTGGGTCACCTGCCCGTCACAAGGACGAAATGCAGAGTACGACGGGCTTGATTAATATGGAACTGACTTGACCCCCACCCCCGAATAATTCTGTGGGGCTACAGCAATACATTCATTACGCTTCACAGATTGCCTGTCGGGGCTCCATGTGATGATGACATTAGCAGTTTACAAAAGAGTGGGTGGGCTGTTTGCCTACTTCATTCAGTGCTGGGAGCACAGCCTCTGAGAACTGACTCGCTGCCCCCTCTGCTTTGTTTTGCTTTAAGAATTGATCGCATTGGCGTTGTTTGAGTTTATATGAATATTTATGATTCTTACAAGGAATAAATATCTTTGACTATAGGTACGTTTCCCTCCTGTTTTCAGGCTTGAAAGGACCACTGCAAAATGCAAAGTAATTGACATTTTCTAGAAAACGTTATTAGTGTGTTAATCTATAACTCACTAGTGTTTTTCTATAAAAGACTTTATGTACATTTTTAGTAGTATGTCTTCCTTCTAGTGTAAAGCATAATAAATGCATGCTAGTTTCGCAGTAGCCTGTTATACATTAAATCACCCTGAATTTCTGAAATGTTTGGCTTTTTATAGCCCTGAAAGGTGCCCGTACTGTGTATTTATATTTCTAATTAAGACTACATATTACTTTGGTTTCTGCTTCAGATTATTTTTTTAAAGAAAGAGCACATTTTTCTCCTGTAATGGGTACTTTAAGACATACCTAAGCGCAAAGTGAAAAAAACATTTTAAATTCTTCCTTCTTTAGTGATTTACAAGAACTCAGAGTAACTTTGGACTAGGGAAGGGGATCAATGGAACGCCACAGGGGCTCTGTTTTTGTGAAAATTCATTAATTAGACAGATTTTAATTTGGCTTTGAGCTGAGGCTCTAGGATGCATCTGTTTGTGTATCTTCTCTTCCCCTTTCTCCCCTGTCTCCCCCTCTTGCACTCTGGCATCCGTCCAGGGTCAGGGCAGATAACAGGGCTGCCCCTAACTCATGACCGGCTTGGCCTGGATCCTCTTGCCCAGGGTCCCTGATGAAACAGCAACCAAGTCCAAGGAGAAGCACGAGCCCCCAGCCTCCTGTTCCTTGGGTTCTGTGGGTTCTGCTCGTCACAACAAGGAAAACCTTGTGGCAGTTTTCACTGATGTTGAGACAGCCCTAAGATGGGGCAAGAAGATGGGTAGGGGGAGGTGGAGGGCTTCAAGAACCAGCTGCAGCATCACACTACCCACAGACACCTTTCTGTGATTCAGTTGCCACTCAGAACACACTTGTTGCATCTCTGAAGGTATGGAGACCAGTGCCGTCTTGGAATCAGAACGTTCCTGACACACATATTTACAGAGTCACGAGACAGGTCTCAATGAGACAGCCTGAGTAGAGAGGAATGCTTACCTACGTATCATCCTCCCTCGAGGTCGCCCAGCCCAGCCACCCAAAACAACCCCCAGGTGCACTCTGCAGACTTTGTGGAGGTGACAGAAGTGGCATTTGAGAGGGACAGACTCCAGGCTTTGGGACAGACTCCAGCCTTTAGGAGGAACACACTGCATGCTCTACCCTGTCGTCCGTTGATGGGTCGTTGTGCACACGACAACTGCAAACGTCCCAGGAGGGGAGTCCAGCCACCACCTCGACCCTCTCAGCACCAGGGGAGGCCCAGAGCCTTGGGTGCCTCTGCTTTGGTCTGGACCCTCTTCCCTCTGGTTCGCTCATCTCTTGGCTGTGACCCATAGGAGCCAGCTTGGAAAGTCGTGCTCAGGCTCTGAGGCCCCACCTTAATCTCAGGCTCTCTTGAATTCTTTTTTTTTTTTTTAATTTGAATTTTATTTTATCTATTTTTTTATACAGCAGGTTCTTATTAGTTATCCATTTTATACACATTAGTGTATATATGTCAATCCCAATCTCCCTATTCATCCCACCACCACCACCCCCGCCACTATCCCCCCTTGGTGTCCATACGTTTGTTTCTCTACATCCGTGTCTCACTTTCTGCCCTGCAAACCGGTTCATCTGTACCATTTTTCTAGGTTCCACATACATGCATTAATATACGATATTTGTTTTTCTCTTTCTGACTTACTTCACTCTGTATGACAGTCTCTAGATCCATCCACGTCTCTAAAAATGACCCAGTTTCGTTCCTTTTTATGGCTGAGTAATATTCCATTGTGTATATGTACCACATCTTCTTTATCCATTCGTCTGTCGATGGGCATTTAGGTTGCTTCCATGTCCTGGCTATTGTAAATAGTGCTGCAGTGAACATTAGGGTGCATGTGTCTTTTTGAATTATGGTGTTCTCTGGGTATATGCCAAGTAGTGGGATTGCTGTGTCGTATGGTAGTTCTGTTTTTAGTTTTTTAAGGAACCTCCATACTGTTCTCCATAGTGGCTGTATCAATTTACATTCCCACCAACAGTGCAAGAGGGTTCGCTTTTCTCCACACCCTCTCCAGCATTTGTTGTTTGTAGATTTTCTGATGATGCCCATTCTAACTGGTGTGAGGTGATACCTCACTGTAGTTTTGATTTGCATTTCTCTAATAATTAGTGATGCTGAGCAGCTTTTCATGTGCCTCTTGACCATCTGTATGTCTTCTTTGGAGAAATGTCTATTTAGGTCTTCTGCCCATTTTTGGATTGGGTTGTTTGTTTTTTTAATATTGAGCTGCATGAGCTGTTTATATATTTTGGAGATTAATCCTTTCTCCGATGATTCTTTTGCAAATATTTTCTCCCATTCTGATGGTTGTATTTTCGTCTTGTTTATGGTTTCCTTTGCTGTGCAAAAGCACTGAAGTTTCCTTAGGTCCCATTTGTTTATTTTTGTTTTTATATCCATTACTCTAGGAGGTGGATCAAAAAAGTTTTTTTTTTGTTTTTTTGTTTTTTTTTTGCCATACCCAGGCCTCTCACTGTTGTGGCCTCTCCCATTGAGGAGCACAGGCTCCAGATGCGCAGGCTCAGTGGCCATGGCTCACGAGCCCAGCCCTTGTTTATGGTTTCCTTTGCTGTGCAAAAGCTTTGAAGTTTCATTAGGTCCCATTTGTTTATTTTTGTTTTTATTTCCATTACTCTAGGAGGTGGATCAAAAAAGGTCTTGCTGTGATTTATGTCAAAGAGTGTTCTTCCTATGTTTTCCTCTAAGAGTTTTATAGTGTCCGGTCTTACATTTAGGTCTCTAATTCATTTGGAGTTTGTTTTTGTGCATGCTGTTAGGGAGTGTTCTAATTTCATTCTTTTACATGTAGCTGTCCAGTTTTCCCCGCACCACTTATTGAAGAGACTGTCTTTTCTCCATTGTATATCCTTCCCTCCTTTGTCATAGATTAGTTAAGCATAGGTGCGTGGGTTTATCTCTGGGCTTTCTATCTGGTTCCATTGATCTCTATTTCTGTTTTTGTGCCAGTACCATATTGTCTTGATTACTGTAGCTTTGTAGTATAGTCTGAAGTCAGGGAGTCTTATTTCCTCCTGCTCCACTTTTTTTCCCTCAAGACTGCCTTGACTATTCTGGGTCTTTGGTGTCTACGTACAAATTTTAAGATTTTTTGTTCTAGTTCTGTAAAAAATGCCATTGGTCATTTAATAGGGGTTGCATTGTATCTTTAGATTGCTTTGGGTAGTATAGTCATTTTCACAATATTGATAGTTCGAATCCAAGAACATGGTTTGTCTCTCCATCTGTTGGTATCATCTTTAATTTCTTTCATCAGCGTCTTACAGTTTTCTGCATACAGGTCTTTAGTCTCCCTAGGTAGGTTTATTCCTAGGTATTTTATTCTTTTTGTTGCACTGGTAAATGGGAGTGTTTCCTTAATTTCTCTTTCAGATTTTTCATCCTTAGTGTATAGGAATGCAAGAGATTTCTGTGCATTAATTTTGTATCCTGCAACTTTACCAAATTCATTGATTAGCTCTAGTAGTTTTCTGGTGGCATCTTTAGGATTCTCTATGTATAGTATCATGTCATCTGCAAACAGTGACAGCTTTACTTCTTCTTTTCCGATTTGGATTCCTTTTATTTCTTTTTCTTCTCTGATTGCCGTGGCTAGGACTTCCAAAACTATGTTGAATAATAGTGGTGAGAGTGGACATCCTTGTCTTATTCCTGATCTTAGAGGAAATGCTTTCAGTTTTTCACCATTGAGAATAATGTTTGCTAGGGTTTGTCGTATATGGCCTTTATTATGTTGAGTAGGTTCCCTCTTATGCCCACTTTCTGGAGAGTTTTTATCATAAATGGGTGTTGAATTTTGTCAGAAGCTTTTTCTGCATCTATTGACATGATCATATGGTTTTTATTCTTCAATATGTTAATATGGCGTATCACATTGATTGATTTGCATATATTGAAGAATCCTTGCATCCCTGGGATAAATCCCATTTGATCATGGTGTATGATCCTTTTAATGTGTTGTTGGATTCTGTTTGCTAGCGTTTTGTTGAGGATTTTTGCATCTATATTCATCAGTGATATTGGTCTGTAATTTTCTTTTTTTGTAGTATCTTTGTCTGGTTTTGGTGTCAGGGTGATAGTGGCTCCATAGAATGAGTTTGGGGGTGTTCCTTCCTCTGCAGTTTCTTGGAACAGTTTGAGAAGGATGCATGTTAGCTCTTCTCTAAATGTTTGATAGAATTCACCTGTGAAGCCATCTGGTCCTGGACTTTTGTTTGTTGGAAGATGTTTGATCACAGTTTCAATTTTATTATTTGTGATTGGTCTGTTCATATTTTCTATTTCTTCCTGGTTCAGTCTTGGAAGGTTATACCTTTCTAAGAATGTGTCCATTTCTTCCAGATTGTCCATTTTATTGGCATAGAGTTGCTTGTAGTAGTGCCTCATGATCCTTTGTATTTCTGCAGTGTCTGTTGTAACTTCTCCTTTTTCATTTCTAATTTTATTTATTTGAGTCCTCTCCCTCTTTTTCTTGGTGACTCTGGCTAATGTTTGTCAATTTTGTTTATCTTCTCAAAGAACCAGCTTTTAGTTTTATTGATCTTTGCTATTGTTTTCTTTGTTTCTATTTCATTTATTTCTGCTCTGATCTTTATGATTTCTTTCCTTCTGCTAACTTTGGGTTTTGTTTGTTCTTCTTTCTCTGGTTCCTTTAGGTGTAAGGTTAGATTGTTTATTTGAGATTTTTCTTGTTTCTTGAGATAGGCTTGTATAGCTATAAACTTCCCTCTTAGCACTGCATTTGCTGCCTCCCATAGGTTTTGGATCGTTGTGTTTTCATTGTCATTTGTCTCTAGGTATTTTTTGATTTCCTCTTTGATTTCTTCAGTGATCTCTTGGTTATTTGGTAACATCTTGTTTAGCCTCCAGGTGTTCGTGTATTTTACGTTTTTTTCCCCGTAATTAATTGATTTCTAATCTCATAGCGCTGTGGTCAGAAAAGATGCTTGATATAATTTCAATTTTCATAAATTTACCGAGGCTTGATTTGTGACCCAAGATGTGATCTATCCTGGAGAATGTTCCGTGCGCACTTGAGAGGAAAGTGTAATCTGCTGTTTTTGGATGGAATGTCCTATAAATCTCAATTAAATCTATCTGGTCTGTTGTGTCATTTAAAGCTTGTGTTTCTTTATGAATTTTCTGTTTGGGTGATCTGTCCATTGGTGTAAGTGAGGTGTTAAATTCCCCCACTATCGTTGTGTTACTGTTGATTTCCTCCTTTATAGCTGTTAGCAGTTGCCTTATGTATTGAGGTGCTCCTATGTTCAGCACATATATATTTATAATTGTTATATGTTCTTCTTGGATTGATCCCTTGATCATTATGTAGTGTCCTTCCTTGTCTCTTGTAACATTCTTTATTTTAAAGTCTATTTTATCTGCTATGAGTGTTGCTACTCCAGCTTTCTTTTGATTTCCATTTGCATGGAATACCTTTTTCCATCCCCTCACTCTCAGTCTGTATGTGTCCCTAGGTCTGAAGTGGGTCTCTTGTAGAAAGCATATATATGGGTCTTGTTTTTGTATCCATTCAGCAAGCCTGTGTCTTTTAGTTGGAGCATTTAATCCATTCACGTTTAAGGTAATTATCAATATGTATGTTCCTGTTACCATTTTCTTAATTGTTTTGCGTTTGTTTTTGTAGCTCCTTTTCTTCTCTTGTGTTTCCCACTTAGAGAAGTTCCTTTAGCATTTGTTGTAGAGCTGGTTTGGTGGTGCTGAATTCTCTTAGCTTTTGCTTGTCTGTAAAGCTTTTGATTTCTCCATCAAATCTGAAGGAGATCCTTGCCAGGTAGAGTAATATTGGTTGTGGGTTCTTCCCTTTCATCACTTTAAGTATATCATGCCACTCCCTTCTGGCTTGTAGAGTTTCTGCTGAGAAATCAGCCGTTAACCTTTTGGGAGTTCCCTTGTATGTTATTTGTCGTTTTTCCCTTGCTGCTTTCAATAATTTTTCTTTGTCTTTAACTTTTGCCAGTTTGGTTACTGTGTGTCTCAGCATGTTTCTCCTTGGGTTTATCCTGTATGGGACTCTGTGCTTCCTGGACTTGGGTGGCTCTTACCTTTCCCATGTTAGGGAAGTTTTCAACTATTATCTCTTCAGATATTTTCTCGGGTCCTTTCTCTCTCTCTTCTCCTTCTGGGACCCCTATAGTGCGAATGTTGTTGCGTTTAATGTTGTCCCAGAGGTCTCTCAGGGTGTCTTCATTTCTTTTCATTCTTTTTTCTTTATTCTGTTCCGCAGCAGTGAATCCCACCATTCTGTCTTCCAGGTCACTTATCCGTTCTTCTGCCTCAGTTATTCTGCTATTGATTCCTTCTAGTGTAGTTTTCATTTCAGGTATTGTATTATTCATCTCTGTTTGTTTGTTCTTTAATTCTTCTAGGTCTTTGTTAGACATTTCTTGCATCTTCTCAATCTTTGCGTCCATTCTTTTTCCAAGGTCCTGGATCATCTTCACTATCAGTATTCTGAATTCTTTTTCTGGAAGGTTGCCTATCTCCACTTCATTTAGTTGTTTTTCTGGGGTTTTATCTGGTTCCTTCATCTGGTCCATAGCCCTCTGCCTTTTCATCTTGTCTGTCTTTCTGTGAATGTGGTTTTTGTTCCACAGGCTGCAGGATGGTAGTTCTTCTTGCTTCTGCTGTCTGCCCTCTGGTGGATGAGTCTGTCTCTCCCTTGAATTCTTTCTGGTAGGATGGAAACTACTTAATTAGGGCCTGCCTGGGGTGTGGGGGGAGATGATATGGGCACCATTCTCCCCCACTTGCCTTGGTGCCTTTACCCTGTCTGACCATTTCATGCCCACTAGTGTGTGGGCTTCAGTCACTCACTTGGTTTCTCATGGTTTTGTAAATTGATTGCTACTGTTAAGACTGAAATGTACTACCAGACTTCAGTAACATCATTTTTAGTGCTTCTTAAACAGTATTAACTTACCTGGCTTCTGTTCCTGTGTTCTTGATTAGTAAGATCACCACAATTACAAGCTGTTCTTCAATTCAGTGACATTTAAAAACAAAACTGTCGAGCCCACCTTGAAGACCAATGCCTTTATGTGTGAACTTTTCCTGGCCCTTCCCCTGGGTTGTTATTTAATGAATGTCATCGTTTCCAGGGGAAAGTTTTCATTTACCGAGGGAAGGAGTATGAACGCCGGGAAGATTTTGAAGCTCGGCTATTAACTCAGTTTCCAAATGCTGAGAAAATGAAGACAACATCTCCACCAGGCGACGATATTAAAAACTCTGCTGGCCAGTGTATCCTTTCAGACAGCCATGTCGGATATAAAATGATGGCGATGTCATTTGTTTGGATGGTTGGGTGTACGTGGGACCTTGCTCCTGGCTAATGACCACGCTGCCTTATGATCCTTAACCCCCTTGACCTTCAGATATTCAGTGCTTCACAGTAAAGCCCAAACTCGATTTGCCCCCTAAATTTCACAGGCCCGTGTCAGAGCAAATTGTAAGGTAACATTTTCCTTACCCAACATGAGGGTGGTGAGAGGCGTACACAGATTGCTTCTTCATAATTTCACGTCTCAGAGGGTGGATGTCAGCCTTTGATTAACTTTTCAGATGCTCTTTCTGTTTACTTCAAAAAGCAAAAGGGAAATTAGTCATGTTCAGCATCAAAGAAGGGGGAAGGAAGATGTGAACACGTGTGGCCGGGAGGGTGCAAGTCTGTTCCTTATACCCGAGATTGGGAGACAGGGAAAGTCAGCGGGGAGAAAGGGCTACTCTGGGCTCCTTTTGAGCCACCAGGTGAGAGACCCCCTGTAGACCTTTTCTCCAGGGCTCAGGCCCTGCCCCACACCCCACAGATCTGAGTCTGTGTGCCTGTGGTGTGGCCTGAGCATTTGGATCCCAGAAGGCAGGAATAGGGATTCAGACATGTGCTCGTGATGGAGAACCAGGTGGGGGATGAGAAGAAGCCTTCACCCGTACAACAGGGTGATTACATAATATGGGATTTGGAGGTGGATTTTTTTTTTCCTTTTTTTTCTTTTTTTTTTTTGCGGTACGCGGGCCTCTCTCCGTTGCGGCCTCTCCCGTTGCGGAGCACAGGCTGCGGACGCGCAGGCTCAGAGGCCATGGCTCACGGACCCAGCCGCTGCGCGGCATGTGGGATCTTCCCGGACCAGGGCACGAACCCGCGTCCCCTGCACGGCAGGCGGACTCTCAACCACTGCGCCACCAGGGAAGCCCCTGGAGGTGGATTTTAAAACTCACAGGCCAACTGTCCAAATTTGAGTGAGATTTTCTGCATCTACATTGAATTGCCCCTGACTTAGCAGTGGTGTAGAAACACCTACACTAGATGTCTCTTAGATATGAAGAATTTTCTTTTCTGTTTGATCCATGTACTGGTGAAAAAACAGTTAACCTCTTTGATGGCCTAATAATGCTCAGGATCTGCTTATCTTATATCCTGAAGTTTGGTGGATTGGGTTCTTCTACAAAATTCACTACCATTTCTTTAACCTTTCATCAGCAAACATGGGAAATAAACCAGGACTTGGTTTATTGACGGATGATCGCTTTCATAAGGCTTAGACTTTAAGTTTTGCAACATTTTTTTCTGAGAGCCATTAAACACTAGTGAACTGTAGTGTATGCTCAGATATTTCCCTTTGATATGGGGTGCCCACCTGCGTTTCAGCGCAGGGGGGTGAGTGAGCCTCCCAGCCTGCCTCTGGGATGTGCGTGAAACCCACCCCCTCCCCAGGGGAGGAAGGTACAGTCTCCATCTTAACGTATGCCACCCTTGGTGGTTGCCAAATCTGCCTTTTGTAGATCTGAAATTAAAGTATACAAGACCTTTTAAAAAATGAGACATATTTTTAATAACTTATTAGATTAAATTATTTAATAAATTACTTGTTGAATTATGAATTCAAATTTTAAATAATAAACGCATAAATGGAGAATGAAGGCCTTTTCCCCCTCTCCTTTGCTTCACCTTTTCTGTTTTTGCTGGTTTCACTCTTACTCAGCGTCTCTTCTCCCTTGAGCATTGTCAGGGACAGAGAAGAGGCAAAAATTCAAGGTAATTTTTCCACCTGCCAACGTCTCTCTTCTGAGGCTGGCGGGGAAAGAAAGCCCAGCTGTCGCTCCAGGTCAAGGCTGGGATGCACTGACCTATAGGGAGACCGGATCCTGTGTCTAAAAGCAGATCGGCTACTTTTCTGGTTAAATGTCTAATGATTTCTCTATCTCTGTACAGTTTTTACAGAGTAAACGAGGTCCAGCGATTTGAATATTCTCGTCCGATCCGCAAGGGAGAGAAAAACCCAGACAACGAATTTGCGGTAAAAAAAAAAAAAAACACCCCCAAACTCATGCCACGACTAACAAAACCGCGCATGGAAAAGTGTGTTCTCGAAGGCTCCCGCAGTGCAGGATTGAATGCCTTTGTGTGTTATGTGCAGAGATCCTAGCATATTACCCATTCAGATTTAGTGAAATGACGACCATTTCACAAATAGTATCACTCAGGTGCTTGTGATGCTGTAAGAAGGTAACCAGTGCTTTGGAGTGTTTCCGTGCTGAGCACACTTGCTTCCCTCCTACGTGTGTCTGAGTCTCCCTCTGTGCCCTGGGTCCTGGAGCAGGTGCTGGTGTCTCGGTTATAAATAAGCTCTCGGAGGTGCCGAGTGCTTACCTGGCTCTCTGCAGGGGACAAGCAGTCAGGAGGTGAGTTGGGCTCACTATCCAGTGCCCACACCTGAACTTCACTGTGGCACAATACGCCGGAACAGGGTCCCCGCGGGCACAGCTGAATAACAGGCCTCCTTGGGTGTTGAGAAGCATCCCGGACCTCTACCCACTAGGTGCCAGCTAGAGCCTCCCCGGTTGTGACAACGAATCACAAGTGTTTCCACACATTGCTAAACATCTGTGCCTTGTTGAAGACACTGCATTAAAGTCATAGAAATGTTAACACCGATTCTTGCAACCTTTTAAAAAATATACATACAACTGCTTTAATGGATTCCATTTTGCAAAGGCACAAAATAAAGCATAGCTTTTATATTTTTAATTAATTAATTGATTGTTTTGAAGTAGAGAAGAATAGCTTTATTGCTTTACAGGCAAAGGGGGCCACCGGGGGCTAATGCCCTCAAAACTGTGTGTTGAAAGCGTAGTTTTGTTTATTTATTTATTTTTAACGTTAAACGTTTCTCTCTCCTCCTGCTCTGAAAAACCTCCTCTGGAAATCCCTAGATAGACCCATATTTCAAGGTGGCATTAGCCCCAAGGACCCCTGGCGGGGACCTTGTCTGCAGGTATCTGGGGGTGCAGGGGGTCAAAGTTGAATTAGCACCATGCTGCTGACCCAGAGGGAAGCTCAGAGCACTTTCAGCAAAGTTGCCTTCCACCCACCCTCCCTTCGAAGCCCCGTTTCGTATAATCTTTTGACCCCCACGGTGATGGCTGTGAGTCTCCAGTCACAGCCCCTGAAAGGCCCTTCCCTTCCCTTCCCGAGCCCAGTTTCCTGTGTGTCAGCTAGGATCTTGGAGTTGGGAAATTCTAAGGCTGTCCCCAGTTTCATCACTGGCTCTTTCAAAACCAAAACCCTATTTCTTGGTTAGTGTGGCATCCTGAACCTGTTTGGTGACTCGTTTCACTGTGGCGCCGTCTGCAGTGGTGAGAGAGGCAAGGCCCCGCCTAGACACCCACACCGGGGCTGGGCTTTCTGAGCCGTCTCTGTTCTTGTCATCACAGCAATAACTCTGTCATTTCTGTAGCATCCTGGCTGCAGGATGTATGGGCGGTTCTTGAATTTCCCTCAGGCCTCTCACGTCTCGCGGCGATGTACGTTCTTATACTGTGAAGGAAGAGACACAAGGAGGTCGAGCAAATTGCCGACAGTTGCGCAGCCATTCAAGGCAGAGCTAAGAATAACCACGGCTCCTGAACTCTGGAGCTGCGCTAAGCCTTAGAGGCTGGGCTGTTTCTAAATGGCCCAGAAATCCCCTAATGGCCCCGTTAGGTTCTCACACACAGATGGGACTTTCAGAAGCCACGGGATTTAGTCCTTCACATGCTTGACAAAGCCCCAGGCTTTCAGATAAGCGCAGGGGGTTTGGTGGTAATGGGAGGCCAGGCTGGGGCCTGCTGCAGGGAGCCTGGCTCCCAGGGCCTGGGTGCTGGGAAAGCTGCCCTGCCAGGCCAGCCCGGGAGCTCAGAGCAGCTTGGTGCCTCCAAACCTGGCCACGCATGAAGTTCTGAAACCCAGAGCCAGCGAGGAGGAGGGAGCCAGAGACAGGGTCAACGTGGAACCCGCAGGCCGCCCCCACCCCCGGGGATGCTGGAGTTGGTAGGGAGCAGTGCAGCCTGCTGTTTCCAGGCCGGTGCCTGAGCCAGCAGCCCCTGGGGGCAGCAGGAACCTTGACCTGTGTCCCTGGGGCCTCAGCCAGGTCCTTGCCCTCTCCCAGCCTGGAATCTGATGTTTGGAGAAAATGCTTTCTAAATGCCAACCAGTTTTCTGGAAATGTTGACAATCCATTACGCCATCTTTTTATATCTGGATCACTGTGGATAGACTCAGACTGCTCAGCGATTCTCTGTTACTGGGAGGTGTACCAGGCAAAGGCTGCTGCTACCAGCTGGACACCCCGCAGTAAGAGATGGGAGGAAAGGGTTACCGTTCACCCCTGCAGCAGAGTTCTGTGCAGCCATTGAAGAGGGGTGGAGTTACATTTGCTGGCTTTAAACAACTTCCCGCAATATGTACTATACCATTTTCGGAAGAATACATTTTCATTGAAAATACACATATACACACTTGTTAATGCTTGGTAAGAAGGCTTGAACCCCAGATAGTAAAAGGTTAGGTTGTCATCTTTAGGTACTGAGTGATTTTTCTGCCTTCTATTTCCATATCTTCATTTTCTGATGTAAATATATATGTTACGCCAAAAAAAAAAAAAAATTCATCATTAAAATACTGACTGATTTTATTAGAATGTTGAGAGGTCACTTTTATGAAGCCCAGTCTTCCTCAGTGGATTTGCATCTTCTAGTTTCTTTTGAACACTAAGTAAGGCTAACGTAAAGCTCATTGGAGCCTTTCCAAAAATCTGTTTGCTCAGAGGGAACCTCCCTCGTGTGGATGTATATAATTCTCCCCTTCTATTGTATTTTCTTGGCCAAATGCCAGGGAAACGGGCACCGTTGGCCAGGGAACAGGGGGCCGCGGTGTCCTGTGTAACAGTCTGACAGTTCAGCAGAGCATGGCCTGTGAGGTGTTCCCTGGGCGGCTGGTGACCTTGCCTCCCAGACCCTTGCAAATCCCCGTGAGGACAGAAGCTGTCATCTACCTGCAACCTCCTCCTCCTAACAAGTGTCCTGTGTGTGTTCCCTTTGCAGAATATGTGGATCGAAAGGACCATATACACAACTGCGTATAAATTGCCTGGCATTTTAAGGTGGTTTGAGGTCAAATCTGTTTTCATGGTAAGCACACCCCACAGGAGGAACTGCCCATCACCCCCTCTTCTACGGTCTGACACGGCCTATTCCCCAGGCGTGTCATCTGGTCACCGTGGCCGGCAGGCATGCTTCAGACCCCACATCAGGCTTAACCCAGAATCACTCTCCCCGTCCACGAATACTGCGGTGGAAATGCTGTGTAATCACAACCTCCTCTAGTGTAGAAAGAAACCAGAGCTAAGATTTCATTTCTTTTTACAAAATATTTAAATCTAGTCGTCACTGTGCTGTTTTGACAGTTCTTTCTGTTACCGAAATGAAAAGTTTGACAAATTCCAATTTACATACGCTTTTGAAGATCTTTCCTCCTGATGGTTTTATTGCCATTTACATGACAAACAACTTGATTAATAGTACTTGCTCGTTTTCAAGTAAAAATAGCTTGAGAATATACCCCTCACCCACACTTTTTAAAGAAATAATGACCCGCATCTCATTAGATAAACTTTGCCTTGGTGATGAGCTATCGGACAGTTCCAGTCACAGGAACCAGAGTTGGGCAGAAGGTTCTTACTGAATGTATAGCAGCAGCAGCGTGACAACTGCCCGTATAACAAGGTCTGATTGGAATATGTGTGCTTTGTCATGTGTCTCAATGCCTTTGGTTTTCACCTGGCAGGGTCTGAACCAGAGGGGTGGTACCCACTGTTCAGTTTACCATGAGTCCCCTTGGAAACTCCTGCTTCTGCCCTAGGACGTGGCTGGCGCCTGTCTTCCCAGCTTTGTTTCCACTCCTGACCTTCGTCCACGCCAGTTGAGCTCTGGCTGACCTCTCCCTGACCTCTAAGCTCAGTTGACCTCTCCCTGAGCATGCCTGTGGTCAGCTGCATCCCATCCCCATCTCCAGCACCCCCTCCTCCTGCTCTGAAGCCCTAGGGCTCTGGGCCCCCCTCCCCACCCCCGGAGGGCCCCTCTACTTCCTGTGTCCCCAGAGACCCCGCTCTGTCCCCCCCTAGCACCCAGGCAGGCCCTGACCTCTGGAAGGCTCAGGAGACGTGGCAGGTGGCAGAAATGCAAGCCTTCGCTGGCACCATTCGGAGCTGATGCTGTACATGCGGGAGACCACAAGACAGGAGACCCTTCCCTAAACAGGCACCACTCCTATCCTCCTATGAGCCTCTTCCCATAAGCCGTTTGTAATCGGGGATTCCGTGAGCCAGCCCGGTTGCGTGAGGATGGTGCTGAACAGCTCGAGGTAGCGAGGGCTGAGCCCTGGTTTTCTGTAAGGATGTGGCTCTGCCACGGGCTATGCTTGCCCCTTTTAATGAACGAAGAAAGCTGGAGGCTGAATAATCCCAGGATGGCAGGACTGTAATAATCCTGCTGCCCACACCCTTGGCCCCACCATCGCTGGAACAGACCAGCAGCTGACCGTCTTGGTTTGATAAAGCTAGGACACTGCTCTTCCTTGCGGCAAACGGGATCAGCGACAGGGAGTTAGCCATCAGTCAAAATGGAATTCTGCCCTGGAGAGTCCATTCGGCGAAGTTAAGTGTCTGGGGTGGTGCATTCCAGGGTCTGATAAAGCCAGGTGTGGGGTGAAAACAAAGGCCCTAAGGTACGTGTTGTTTGGGGTGCACGTGCAACCAGGGGGCACCCTCAGTGGCCAGCACACGGTCGGCCACCTCTTTGCGTATTACCTCCTCTCCATCAGGTCACCTCTCCGGCAGGTGCTCGCCAGTGATGACTGAGGGTGTCATTCTAGGATCTCTCCGTTCTCTGAACATCTCTGCGCCTCCAACCCCCGTCTCTCTACCTCTCAGACAATCCCCAGGGGCTGTAGAAGGAGAAAACAGGCTGCTCTGCTTTGCCATTTGCTAAAGACACCCTAGGGTCCCCGGCACAGGTGGGGACCCGTCCCACTTCCCTTGGGGAAGGGAAGGATCAGGTTATCATGTGTTGTGGTCACCCTTGGACATGGCTCCGGGGCCCAGCCTAGGGTCTGTTAGAGCCAGGCCTGGTGGGAAGGTGGTGTTATTGTTTCAAACGCGGACGCATCCTCCTGGCACCTGCGGGCTGAACCAGAGAGGATCGCGGGGCGGGGCCTCGCCGGGCCCTGCGGGGGCCCCCAGAGAAAGAAGGGCACTGGCGGTGTGGGCCCATGCTTGCTCACCCTGCCTCCTGCTGAGGGTCCTGCTGACCAGTGGCGGGTTTGCAAGGGAGGCCCATGAGGTCCAGCTGAAGTGGTGACCACCGGGCGGGGGGGAGCTCTTCCTTCCTATAGGAGGGCGTGTGGCCTCCTGCAGAGACCACCGCAGGACCCCTCTGCCCCTCCCCCGCTTCCCTAACCAAGCAAGTCCAGGGACAAAGTGCCCAGACCTCCTGCCTCAGGGACAGGAGAGATTGCTCAAAATTCCTTAAGACAAGCAACGAGCAAGGCCATAGTTCAAAGGCTGCTTTGTGAGGCATGTAGACCGTGCTCAAGCGCCACTCAGGGCTGTGTTTTCCTGGGATGACCGTACGTGTGCATACGCACGTGCACGTGCACACACATTCCCCAGGACTAGGTGACCTTGTGTTGTGCCTTTGGAGTTTGCATGTGGGGACAGGTCTATGGAAACACATAAAGATCCTAAAGTGCCCGGCTTCTCTTGGCTGGGTGATGAGGGACCTTTTTGCCCCAAGAAGCCACTGGGAAGAAAAGTGCATGGAGAGTAGGAAGCCTGCCCCACTCGGAGTGTGTGTCCTCTGGCGAGGAGCCAGAGGCATCAGCAGAGGCCCTGGCAGGACAAGGGCCGCGGCAGCTGGCCCAATGCCATTCCGTCTTCCCCCTTCCGCAGGTGGAGATCAGCCCCCTGGAGAACGCCATCGAGACCATGCAGCTAACGAATGACAAGATAAACAGCATGGTGCAGCAGCACCTGGACGACCCCAGCCTCCCTGTCAGCCCCCTCTCCATGCTCCTGAACGGCATCGTGGACCCCGCCGTCATGGGAGGCTTTGCAAATTACGAAAAGGCAAGTGACACGCCAGCTTCCTCTTTCCAGCCCTGTCCTGGGACGGACTGTCTCCAAGCCCGGAAACCACCGTGGTCTCACTGAGCGAGCTCCCCAGTGACCGAGCCCGGGCCGGGCTGCCCAGAGGCAGCCTCTGCGGCCTCCCGATGGCCAGAGCCCCACCGCGGGCCCGGCCGGCCTGGGCATTGTCCCGTCATCTTCACCCGCCACCGGGCTGTGCTAACGGAGCCCTAGAGAGTGACCCTCGTGACTGTCCAGAGGCCTGGGATCATTAAAGGCCAAAAGATACAGTTTCAGTGAAAGACAAAAGGCTTAGAATATTTAAAATAGATGGGAGTCTGGTGTGGTGGGGACAGCCAGCTGGTCTCCCTGGAAAATATCTCAGTGAGATCGGGCAGAAGCTGAAGATCGTGGGATGTGCTCTAGACGAGGGGTCTGCACTACAGCTGCCACCTGATTTTGTAAATCAAGTTTGGGACGTGGCCACGGCCATTCTCTTACTTGGTGTCTGTGGCTGTTTTCCTGATACAACAGTGACAGAGTTGAGGCCCTTCACGGAAGAGGTTTGCTGCCCCCTGGTCTAGACAAAGTGGAAACTGAAGCCGAAGGGGCTCTGTCTGAAAGTGGGCTGTGAGGCGAAACTGCCCTGGACAGTTTGGAGAGGCGATGCTCTGTTCCAGCTCCCTTCAGCTGTAGGGCGGACCCGGGATGGGGGTCAGGGGCACGAGAGCAGCTGGGGAGCTGCCTCCCAGCGAAGTGAGTGACTGTGACCCGGGTCAGCTGTGGCTTTGCTGAGCTCCATGGACGGGGCCGCCACAGTGAGTGAACGAAATCCATTTGTTGTGCTAACCTTACTGGATGTTTTGCTGGGATAGGGTCCAACCCTGGGGGGAATGAGCTGGGTGATGGCCGGGGTGTGTGTCTGTTTCACACACAGCTCTCTCCCCAGGCCTGGTGTACAAAAACGTGTGTTGGTGTACTAAGTGGCTCTCCCTGTCTCCACCAGGCCTTCTTTACAGAGCGGTACCTGCAGGAGCACCCCGAGGCCCACGAAAAGATCGAGAAGCTCAAGGACCTGATTGCATGGCAGGTAAATGTCCAGCGGCAGCTGCAGGGCCTGAGGCGGGGAAAGTAGAGTCTGGGACCAGATCCACCAGGGCCACCTTGGCATACCTGCCAGCCGCCACGGAGGACCCTGGACATCAGCCAGAGCACCCGTGACCATGTTTGTCCCGGATAAACCCATTCACCACTGCCGTGATTAACTCGACCCCTGGCTGTAGTCATGCGTTTGAACATCTAGAAAGTTCTGTCTTGCAAATGAGCCTGGTCTGTGTCCTCCCCTCGGTCAGTGCAGTGCCTGCTGGGAAATCTTTGCCTGATATCGACAGAACAGAACATCATGGGCAAGGTCAGGAAACAGTGATGCCCTAGAGACCGTGGCTCCAGCCTGTCCTGGGAGGGTGCTTGAGCCGATGCCATCGGCATGAGAGGTGGGGATGGGAAACCGCCGAGCACCCACCCTCCTGTTCCCTGTGCTGGTGGTCAGGCTTGGGGGAAGGGGTCCTTGTTTCTGTTTCCCCAGCTGTAATTCTGCATATTCTTTGGCTTTTCTGCTTGTGCTCCTGAGGCCTTCTGAGCCTTCCTTAGCGGCACATGGTCTGGAAAGGCTGGGCAGCTCTGGAGGGTGTCCTGGGCTCCACTGGAAGTTCCCTTTTCATGTGTCTGAGCTTCTGGAGCTTTCATGGACCTGGAGGCGGAGGGGACGTCCAGACCCAATTCCCGTGGGAGCTCTGCCTACTTGCTCTGGACTTTGGACAACTTGCTTCTCTAAGCTTCCTTTTCTCACGTGGGAGGCAAGGAGGGTGCTGCTTATCTACACCCCACACGCCAGGATGAGGGAAGAGGGCTGAGGAAGGCAGAGGCCAGGGTCTCCCTGTGCCTGGGCGGCATCCCACCCTAGCCTGGGGGTCCCAGGCTGTGACCAGTGCTCTGTGGCTGCTTTGCTCCCAGCCTCCCTGGAGCCTCACCAGCCTCCCTTGGAGCCTCACCGTCCTGGCTTCGTCATCAGCACATGGGCTGTGTGACCTGTTAGGGTGGAGCAGGGCTGAGTTTTGGTTTCAAGCCTAATTACAAGTATTTATTTTATATCTATAAAATATATATGGATATTGCTGTGATAAAATTTATGTAACATAAAATTTACCACCTTAGTCATTTTTACGTGCACAGTCCAGTGGCATCAAGTATGTTCCCGTCGTTGTGCAGCCATCACCACCATCCATCTCCAGAACATTTTCGTCTTGCAAAACCGCTGTGTACCCAATAAACAATAACTCCCCATCCTCCCCACCCCTGGAAACCACCATCCTGCTTTCTGTCTCTATGAATTTGATTATTCTAGGGACCTCATATAAGTGGAATCATACATTGTCCTTTTGTGACGGGCTTATTCCACTTAGTGTAATGTTTTTAAGGTTCATTGGATTGTAACGTGTCAGAATTTCGTTCCTTTTTAAGGCTGAATAGTATTCCACTGTATAGACCACCTTTTACTTATCTGTTCACTCGCTGATGGACACTTGGGTTGCGTCCACTTTTGCTATTGTAAATGATGTTATAATGGACGTGGGTGTACAAATACCTGTTCTGTTTCCTGCTTTCACTTCTTTTGGGTACATACCCAGAAGTGGATTGTTGGATCATATAAGTCTATTTTGAATGTTTTAAGGAGGCACCTGTATTGTTTTCCATTCCCACCAGTAATCACGCACGATGGTTCCAATTTCGCCGCATCCTCGTCAACATTTGTTAGTTTTTGGCTTTCTTTTTGTTTGTTTGTTTTATAGCCGCCATCCTAATGGGTGTGACTTTGCCACAAATCCGTAGGCATTTGATATCAATTTGCCTTGGAATTCTTCTGTGACAAGACACCCTGGGAGCTGAATTTAAGGGAACTTTTTGGCCATGATGGTTTCTTTGCACAAGATGTAAGCCTCAGGTAGGCAGTCTCCCTCTGTTACTAAAAAAGAGGGAGAGAATTTAAAGGTCTGAATGATTCCATTTTAGATGTTGTAAAAACCAAAGGGGACAAAATTCAAAACTCCACTGAAGACTATATAAAACCATTGCTACACAAAAACTAGTTTGGTCTGCAAAAGTTCTATTGATTTTTTTTTTTTTTTTTTTACTGTAAGCTTTTACAGAAAATTGGATTTTAAGAGTTTCAAGCCCTACAAAGAAAAATAATTTGTTCCCCAGAGAGAACTTTATGTCAGCACTATGTCATCACCCCTAATAAGTATATTAAAGGATGAATTTTAAAGTAGCTCACAGGAAAGTCGGGGGAAAAAAATCTGGTTTCTAGCCACTTCATTAAATCAAAAAGTGATGAAAAATACATATTCAAAACATTACCTGTGATCTTGCTTTCATTTGCAAATGTTTTGAAGACTCATCTTTTAATATCAGTAATTGAGTCATACGCTCATTAAAAATAAGAAGTTTGGGGTTATCGGAATGCTTTCTTCTGGTTTTGTGTTAATTTGTTTGGTTTGGTTTTTTTCCTGAAAACTCCATCAGGGCAAAGTGAGGTTTTCCTCCTGGGAATCCCAAGGGTTCCTTGGCAGGGTTTCCATCACTGATGCCTAAAATCATTTGTGAAGGCTGGTTATTAAGTCCTAGGCAGCTCCTGGCTCTGCTGTTGCCGTTGCTGAAACAGAGGGTGCTGACCCCCTCACAGGCAGGAGCTGGGGTCAGGTGCAGGCTGCCTGGGGCCTCTTCCAGGTTTGCGGCTGACACCAGGTCAGCAGTGAGCGCCAGCCCCTTCCTCAAAGGCACAGCTCCATCTTTCCCCACACGCAG